CCATCTTTTATATATTTACGTCTTTATAATAAAATATTTGTAAATTACGATTTTATAAAAATGGTACTCGGTAATAAGACATTATGCCTTCTTCTTGCTCCAGCTATTTATTTTATTGTATATGTACGAGGTGTGAAAATTATTAGACTCAACTAGGTTTTTTTTAATGAAAATAGTTTTTATATTATAAAAGGAGTTTATTGATCAATTTAAAGTTACATTAATACTTTGTATGCATGTCGTTAGGCTTAAGTTTCTATACGCTTTGGAATACTTTCTACAAGAACTGGACATTTATTTTTTATTTCCTTATCATGGTGCCATATTTTGATAAGTTGTTCATTTATTTAAACTTTTGTGGTCATGCTGGTTTTCTTCACCTCTTCCTAACAACCGTCCATAAATTCTCTATGGGGTTCATATCTGGGCTGGTCCCTGGCCTGGTACACTAACATGGTTTCCTATCAAAACCTTTGTCACTGGCTTGGCTTTATGGCATGGTGAAACCAGTCTCTCTTGGGGAAGCAGTCTTGCTTCCAAAGCTTTCTTATACTGGTGCTAATTCATTGTGCCTTCAACAATATATAAACGCCCTGTGCCCGTGGCTGAGATGATACGCCACACCATAACTGTGGTAGGATGCTTCACAGTCTGAATAACACAAGTCTCAGAAAACTCTTTGTTTGAGGATCTTCTCACATATTGACTGTTTTCATCACATTTTGAACACATGGATTTATCAGAGAAGCAGACCTGTAATCAGATAATATATAAGACTTCAATAACACAGCTGAGTATTGATATGAATTGGCAGACGAGTAATGAAAAGATCTTGAAAAGTGACGTTTAAGTGTGAAAGAAAAAGAAACATGAGTTGGTTGGTGTAAGGGTAGAAATTTTTTTTTAAAGAAACATGTGTAAGAAAAACTATTGAAATGTTTAAATTACTCACGTTACTCCAAAGCGAGATTTAACCTCATTGGCCCAGTTAACCCTTTTTTTAACCATTGCCATTGTTATTTTGTCTTTCTTTCTTGGCCGACGTGCTGAAAGACCTGCATTAATAAGCCTCCTCCTAATCGTAGAACTGCAAACATCAACCCTATACTTCTCCAAGGACTTTTTTAAGTCTTCACTAGTGGCTCTTCTATTTACTTTAGCTATATGGATAAGTTTGTGTGGCTCAATTTGGACTTGGATCCATAATTTCCTTGTCGTGCAGAATTGTAATCTTGCCCATTTTTAATAGCCTAGCTGATACGGCTTACAGATTTTTGTGAAATTTGTAGTCTTGAAGCTATTTCTCGTTGTGAATACGTTTTTTCTTCAAGCAACTTAAAATGGAAGTTATAGCAAATAAATATTAATATGTTAATGGTTAACCATAATGATTTAATTAAAATCACCTTCAGCTTTTGTTTTGGTGAAAGTACATCGATGAATGTATTTGCAGTAAAAATTCTTCTTACGACGGCTGATTGACCACCTTTATGTTTATAGCAGTGTTGACAACCCACCAAGCTTATGCATGGTTACCAAGTTACTAAAGGCTAAAGGCATGCATACAAAGTATTAATGTAACTTTAAATTGTTCAATAAATTCCTTTTAGAAAACAAAAGCTATTTTTATTAAAAAAAACTTAGTTGAGCCTAATAATTTTCACACCGCTGTATGTATATGAAAGTTGTATTTATAGTAAAAGGCAAAATAAACTAATTTTGTGAAAAAATAAAATGTTTTAAGTCAACATGCTTTTAGTCAACATGCTTTAAGTCAACATGCTTTAAGTCAATATACTTTAAATCAATATGCTTTAAGTCAACATGCATTAAGTCAACATGCTTCAAGTCAACATGCTTAAAGACAACATTAGCTATATGACAAAAAAAACTTTTTTTTTCAAAATTTTAGTTTTCCTGATGTTGCATTTGATGAACTTTTACGAATAGACTGTTTTGAGGTTTATTTCATTGGATCACAAAAAAACCTCCCGCACCTAGCACCTCACCACTCTTAACTTTTTCTATTTTTCACTTGATTTTGTTCCCAGTTCTTACTTCCTTATGCTTGACTATGCTTGACTATGCTTGAATATAACTACAAATTGGAGAGCGTCAAACAGTTTAAAAAGTTAATTAACATAGAATGAAAAAGTTTGATAGTTTTAAATTGTTTTTATGTTATGTAACTAAATTTTGAATAACAAATTTTAACGACTGTTTTTCAAATTAATGCGCGTTTGTTGTTGTTTGTTGTTGAATATTTTTTAATGTTCGCGCGATTAAAATAGTGAGTAGAAGTATTTAAAAAGTTTTTTCATTATTTGCAGTATTAATTTGCAAGATCTGCTGTTTAGTGCTTCTTTTTGAAAATATGTCCTTTAAAAGTAAAAAGTCAAAATCAGCAGTGGAAGCAGCTGGTGAAATATGGACACAAAATTTGAAATCAAGCACGAAGCGTCGTCCTAATATACCACAGGTAAAACAGGATATGAGCGACAAATTGTGTAAAATGCCTTCCAAAAGAGATATCGTTGGAATATTCTTGGGACTCTTTAATGAATTAAAAGGACGACATGATCGACTATTAAAAATATCCGAGGAATTGATGAATCTTTGGCAGAAGTTTAATTTTCCTGTTCTTTCCAATCAACAAGTGTCTGCTAATGTTTTCAAACTTATCACATCATTTGAGAAACACAGAAAGCGACCAAATGCAGTATTTGAAGAAAGTCTTGCTCATCTGTTCAATATAACAAAACCAGATGGAAATTGGCTTTGTAGTGAGGACAAACAACTGTACAAAGTAAAAATTGAATCAGATGGCAGGGTGGGATATACAACTATGAAAGTGGCTCCTATTTTAACAATCCATCCATCAAAAAGGGCCAAAAGCACATCAGAACCCTCAACAAACCAAGCGGTTATCTTCGTACCACTTTCCTGCGATAGTGAGGATTCTGAGGAAAGAAGCAGCAGTGGTGACTCGGAGGCAGTTCCAGGAGAATCTCGCAGAAAGCGTCCAGTCAACTAAGTCTGTTGCCAAACTAGTGTCTAGTCACTCTTTGTCAACCAAAAAAACGTCACGGGTGCTTCAAAGTCTGGCTGAGGATGGAGTTTGTGTCCCAACACCATCACAGTCTGGAGTCTGACGTCGAACAATCAGAGATGCAGAACAAGTTAAGAACCGCCTCATGGAACTGATCTCTGAAGAAAATTTTCTTTGCATTTTGATGGTAAGAAAATTGACAAGACTGAGTACTAAGTTGTGTGCTTGAAAAATGACAAAAGAACATTACAACTTGGCATTTTGGTTTGTGACAGTGGATCATCTGCAAGCATATATATACCACTACAGGACCTACTTGATGATTACAATGCATCGAACAGTATTCGAATGATCATCTCTGACACAACAGCTGTAAATAATGGTCGCAAGAATGGAGTTGTAGCCAAGCTTCAGAAAACATTTCGAGACATGGGATTCGATGAACCTCAATACATCGGCTGCCAACACCACATTCTTGATCTTGTTCTACGACATGTGTTGGATTTCTTTTTTTCTATACAGTCATAGTAGCCTAACATTAACTACAAATTTATTGATGAGATTATGGAACATTAGGGATGATTTAAAAAATGCCTACAAGGGCACAGCAGAGGTAGCAGAGTATGAGAACCTTGGCTGGAGAGATGACTTTAAATTTCTTTTTCAGTTTTGTAAAGCATACAAGTTTTACAAAAATGAGGAAAAATGGCCTCGTATCAAATGGCACAAGCTGCCATCACTGCACAGTGCCAGGTGGAACTCAAGAGGCATTTTTGCGCTTATTGCATTTTTCATTCTTCCGAACTGGCGAGAACAGCTGAGGATAACCTGCGATTTCGTTGCAACTACATGATCGCGGGCCTGGTTTTCAAACCAGCACTATGCAGAGGCGGTTTATGAAGACCTGCTGTCAGCAATATCCCAACTTAAGTGTTTTAAAGCTGTGAAATGCTTCTCTACCCACTGAACGAAGGAACCATCAGTGCTTGATGTGCCTCGAACAACATAGTAGCCGAGAGAGCTGTAAAGTTGATGGGGGACGTTCGTTCTTCTTGCAGAACAAACAAATATCTTAACTTTAAATTTATTAATACTAATACACAAATCTGAAAGATTATTAACATCACTACAAATGCTGTAGGACAGTGTATTTCTCAGATGTATTGTATATAAAGTTGACATATTATAATTAATAGTCTTTGGGCTGCTATGTGTTGTATGGTTAAGTATGAAACTGTCTTAGGTGTGGGAAGTTTTTTCAAGGTATGGTGAAATCAATATCATTTCTGTGATTTATAGGCAAAAGTTCATCATTTAGAACCCCAGGCTAATTGATTTAAAATTTATCATATACCTAGTCAACATGCTTCAAGTCAACATGCTTCAAGTCAATATGCTTATCTTTGTCAAAATAACAATCATAGTTAACAAATTTCAAAATCAATTATGATCATAACAATCATAATTGAATTTGACTTACTGACAACAGTGACAGATCCACGGGGAGGAAAGGGAGTAGGTGCATGCATCCCCCTCCCCCACCCCAGAATCTAAAAGTCCTAAAATATCTTAAAAATTAAGGATTTTTTTTTTTAGGAGACGCAAATGTGATACAAAATACAAAAATATTTTAACATCCACCCTCCTCCCCAACCACACACGCCAAAAATTACTGGATCCGTCAGTGACAAACAATAAAAAAAGTTATTTTCATGTTGTGAATTCCAATCTTTCCCTTTTTTCCAGTAAAGATTAATTGCAAAATCATTTTGAAAAAAAAGTACAGTCTTAGTACCACTTTTTTACAAAAATAAAAATAAAAAAATGTTTTTCTGAAAGATTTTTATTAAAAAAACAAACAAATCAACCGTGAAAGAATTTTGCGCATTTACTTAGAAACTACTGGATCATCATCTAAAACTATTTCTAAACTAGCCAAAATCAAACTAATACTTGGTCACAGATTTTATGCTGGTATAAAGCGTGGAACTGTCAGTAATAAATATAAATATACAAATATGGATAAGTTTGACAGGAAATGTACGACTTGGTAAGCAATTTGTAGCTTTGGCAAGAAATGCAGACCGTTTGTAATTTTAAAGTTGATAACTCTATAAAAAGAAGTGTCTGGAAAAGCGTCTTCTACCTTTTATAAAATCTTGTAATTTTTCAGTAACGTTTTGACCTAATTTAGCAAGCTGTCACTTGATACCGAAGAAATGGCGTTGAAATTATGCCTAAAGATTACAACCCGCCAAATTGTTCACAAATACGTCCTATAGAAAAATGTTGGGCTGTTTGTAAGTTTAAGTGAAATAAGTCACAATGTAAAGTCAATATAGAGTCCGAGCTATGCAAAAAGTGGAGAAAATTTTGTGATCAAGTTACCGGTAGCACTGTGCAAAACTTGATGAGAAGCGTTAAGCCAGAAGTTCGTAGTCTTAGTCAAGGTTAGAAAATTGAATAATGTATAACATGTCAAAATATAGATTAATTAGTTATTCTATATTTAAAAATAAAACTAATAAATATGTATTTAATATATTTTCTGTTAATTAAACGTGTTTTTCGTGGCTACGCTTAATACTCCAGTCTCAACCAAATACGGATGGTTTTTATTCGTATAAACTTGCAAACTCAAATAATGATATCCAAAATACAAAAAGTAAATAAAAATTTCTCAAAGGCCAAAATGAGTTTTTCAGGTAAAAGATACATCTTCAGGTAAAACTACATCTTTCCAACAACATCTGTGGAGGAGATCATCTGAATCCAAGTATCCATCTATCCAAGACCATCTGAACACTTTTGTTCAACATCATCTGCATTTTTCTTTTACTCTAATAACATCTATCCAATAACATCTAAAAACTTAACGACCCCTAACAACATCTTTAGAAAAATGTAACTAGATCTGGAAATTTTTCTCCAAGTACAATAGCATCTGGAAGAATTCTTTTTAGATGTAGTTGCATCTAAAAAAAATCCTATATGTAACTACATCTAGTTAAAATAATGCATTATTAGTTAATTCATCTATAAATAACTTCATCTTAAAATCTAGAGATGTTGTTGCATAGATGTTGTTACACTTTGATAATTTAAAAGATGTAACTACATTTGTAATATTCAATTAATTTTTGCACAAATGTTATTAGACATCAATGAAATTTCAGATGCTGTTGGACAGATATTAACAGACATCAACGAAATTTCAGATGTTGTTGGACAGATGTTACTGTACCTCATTATATTTACAGATGTTGTTGGACAGATGTCATTAGACATGGCAAAAACTGATGTTGTTGCTCTGACCTTTTTCAGGCTATATTGATCTAGGTAATTCTTATAAAAACTGCGAACATATGTAACTACATTAAACCGGGGTACACTAGATATACTTTTATTTAAATGCTGTCAGGTCTCAACCAAAAAAGGTTAATTCTTATTGGCTAAGTTTAAAATAACACAAAACATTGTGACTTAAACATACTCAGGTTTTTAACAAAAAACGGCTAATTCTTTTAAACTCTCGACACAATTCTCAAATGGCTCGACTTGCAAACCTAAACAATGATATTAAAATTACTAAAGAAAATCAAAAAGTTCATTCAGGCTAAAAATACCTTTAAAATTTCCCTACTCACAAATAAATTAAACCACGTTGTCACCTTTTACTTTACACTGGACATCTGTCAAACGTCTTATAAACATATGGTAACACTTAAACTAAACAACTTTTTATATGTTGTGCGGCCTTGGCGTAGAGATCCGAGGTAAGGCACCCGCTCTAGTCCAATAAGTGATATTGTTAAGAAAAGAAGCCATTTAGTTACATTAGGCCAAGAAATATCAGTAATACCAACTGTTTTTGAGTCAATAGCAATTAATTGTCTCTTAAATTAATTTACTCAATAGCTTCTGACTGAATGGCTTCTGATTGAATGACCTCAAAAATATATTCTTTTGTTGTAAAATCCTCACCTGAAGTTTGCATAACAAATTTATGGTTGAAAAAAGAAGTTGATGGGTGTATTACCTTAATTCATCGATCGGAATTTAAAATAAAGAGCAGTTGTTACCGATAACCATTCTACCAATATTAAAGCATATACTGGAGACGGAAAATATTTATCATCCAGTTTATAAAAGAGTCCTTAAATATACTTATTATTTGATATACTCCGTTTTATAAAAAATGTTAGAAACTATTTGTTAAACAAAAAAAATGTTGTTTTTCCATCTTTCGCATTTGATTTCCAGAGACTAAGTTGGAATTACTGCTGGTTGCATTACAGGAAAAAATAAACAATTACTAGACAGAAACTTAAAAAAAGCAAAAAAAATAAATAATTATTGGGTCACTTAACTTAATAACAAACAAGTTATTTACCTTACATTGGAAATATTTGACAAAACAACTGGAGCTTCAATAGTGCATTATTTATTTCCCGTAATAAATAATGCAGCACAATAATTATGCTGTATTATTTCTTTTAAAATTTCTCTTAATTAAAAATTGTTTTTATCATTTTTTTATAAGCTATATACCACACTTAATTCAAAGCAGAAGTTCAATACATCGAATCAACTCGGCAATGCTGCTGTTAAAGTTAATAACAAACTGATACTTTATAGAGAAATTGCAAATTGTATTGAAATTTGATTAAAATGTAAATATTTTACAGCAAACAAACAAACTTGTCATGCTCTAATTACAACACTGTAGGCAACTTATGAATGATTTGCTTGAAGAAGGCTATACATTTGTTCTTGCTTTCAGTTTATAAAGTGATTCTTTGGAGACTTGTTTTAGTAAGTATTGAAATTTTAACTAAAAATGCAAAAAATATAATTTTAAGTTGTTGTTATCGCCCACCAAATGGAGTAATTGAGGATTTTAATGCCTTTTTACATAATGATATAATTAAAAAAAGTTCACATGAAAAGAAATTAAACTACATAATTGGTGATTTTAATTTAAACTGTTTTGAATACCACACTAATAATAACATTAAAAAGTTTTACAATGATATTTTCGAAATTGGAGCGATACCGTTAATAAATAAGCCTACCAGAATATCATCAACATCAGCCTCTATATTAGATAATATAATTACAACTGACGTTTTTAACTGATCTTTAAAAAAAGGTATTATTAAAAGTGACGTCTCTGATCACTTTCCCATTTTTTTCTCCATAAACACAAACATCAAAAAAATTCTACACCATAATAAACCTTTCATCAAACGTTTTTTTACGGAAGCGAATTGCTTTGCTTTTAAGGAACAATTATCTTTACTTCATTGGAAACATATAGATTCTAATGATGCTAATTTAGCTTATAATTTGTTTTTACAAACATTTTTTGAAATTTATGATATTAATTTTCCTAAACATAAAATACTAAAAAAAAATAAAGATTTCACGTCACCATGGATTACAAAAGATCTCAGAAAAAGTTCTAAAGTTAAGCAAAAGTTGTATATAAAGTATTTAAAAACGAGAACATTAGAAAGTAAAACAATTTATAAGAATTACGCTAAAAAATTTGAAATGCAAAGAAAAAATTTAAAAAAAAGATACTACATTAATTTACTAGAAAAATATAAAGATAATTCAAAGCAAACATGGCAAGTTTTAAGCGAAATTACAGGCAGTAAGAAATTGAAAGCTAGCTCTTTACCTAAAGCTATTAAAATTGATAATAAAATATTTGATGATCCAGGAGTGGTAGCTAATAAAATGAATGAATTCTTTACTTCAGTTGGACCAAATTTAGCAAAAAAAATTTCAAACATAAACAAAACAATAAACAGATGTAGTTTTCCTTTAATATCTTATCTAAATTCTTTTGAATTGTCTTTTGATGAATTTGATAGAGCTTTTAAAATGCTAAAGTTAAATAAAGCAGTCGGTCCTGATGATATCAATGGAAACATTGTCATTGATTCATATGATATCATAAAAAATATCCTTTTTAAAATATTTAAATGCTCAATTCAACAAGGAATTTTTCCTGATGAATTAAAAATAGCTAGAGTTTCACCAATATTTAAAGATGGAGACTTACTTAATGTTAGTAATTACCGCCCAATATCTGTTCTCTCTGTTTTCTCAAAGATTATAGAGAGAATTCTTTATAATAAAATTTTGAAAAAATTTTTTAAAAAAAATAACTCCACTGAACACGCTATACTCCAAATAACACAATATATTACTGAATCATTTGAAAGTTCCAAATTTACTTTAGGCATTTTTATTGACTTGTCTAAAGCCTTTGATACGATAGATCATAAAATTCTCTTTAAAAAACTTAAATATTATGGAATCTCTGGCAATGTTTTGAAGCTTTTAAAAAGTTATTTAAGTAATAGAAAGCAATATGTTCACTATGACGTATCATCAAAATCAAACTTGTTAGATGTAACATGCGGAGTTCCTCAAGGGTCTGTCCTAGGACCTCTCCTATTTCTCATTTACATAAACGACCTTTATGAAGCATCTAATTTAATGACAATTATGTTTGCTGACGACACAAATTTTTTTCTATCTCATGGTAACATAATTATCCTATTTCAAAGTATGAACATAGAATTAATTAAAATTTCAGAATGGTTTAACATTGAAAAAACAAAATGGTCTCTTTTTCATCCATACTACAAAAAACATCTTCTACCAAGTGAATTGCCTGCTCTTTTTATAGATGACATTCAAATTAAAAGAATAACGGCTACAAATTTTTTAGGGGTTTTTATTGATGAAAATCTGACATGGAAAAAACATATTGAAAACTTATCCTCTAAAATTTCCAAAAGTATAGGAATACTATTTAAAATAAGAACAATGCTAAATAAACATACTTTAATTCAGCTTTACCACTCTTTTATTCATTCCCATCTAAACTATGCTAATGCGGCTTGGGGTAGTGTAAGGAAAACTAAATTAGAACCACTTTATCGCCAACAGAAACATGTTGCACGACTTATTAATTTTAAACATCGATTTTATCATGCTAAGCCTCTTTTAAACGAAATGAATATTCTTAATATATATCAACTTAATATTTTTAATGTATTGTGTTTTATGTTTAAATGTAAGTCTCGCACATCTCCAATTTCTTTTCACAATTTATATTCTTTAAAAGTTAAAAATAAATACAATTTGCGTAATGAAAATTTTATTCTTCAACCAGTTTTCAAAACTAATTTTGGTAAATTTTGTATTTCATTTAGAGGAGCATTTTTATGGAACAAAATAGTGTTAAAACTTTTTGATCTCTCTCTTGAATGGAACTTTTTCTTATTTAAAAGAAAATTAAAAGAAATTCTTTTCTCAGTTGAAAACATTCTGATATATTTTTAAGTTTGTTTTGTTTTTTATTAATACTCTTAAGAAATATTTTATTGTAATTTATATATACGAAATCTTTTATCTTAACTTATATATATATGTATGTATATGTATATGTGTGTGTGTGTATATGTGTATGTGTATATGTGTATATGTATGTATGTATATATATATATGTATATATGTATATATGGATATATGTATATATATATATGTATGTGTGTATGTATATTTATGTATGTGCGTATATATGTATGTGTATTTGTGCGTATTATATGTATGTGTATATATATATATATTGATGTGTAAGTATATTTATTTACATGTTTGTATGTTTAAATATGTATAAATAATTATATTTGTATTTATGTGTGAATATTTGTCTATGAATTATTAAAGGATTATTTATTATTTAAAAACTGTTTAGGCGGTTCTCGATGACAAGATCTTATGATCTTCTGCGAGTATCCGCATTCTTGTTGTAACGTTAACAAAATTGTAATTCTGACTATACGTATTTTATTCATTCTTATATTGTAAAACTTATTTTGAATAAATAAAAGGAAAAAAAAAAAAAAAAAAAAAAAAAAAAAAAAAAAAAAAGTATTGACAAATGAGCGGTGAAAGCTGTTTTTTGTTAATATTTTAGAAGTATGCAATAGCGTACCAGATTTGTATGCAATATCATCCAAATTAGAAAAAGACCAGATTGTAAAAAAAAAAAAATCAGTGTCTAAACAACAAACAATTACTAAATCAAACACAAAAGGGACAACGCAACACAAATCAAAAAAGGTTTATCAAAAAAGTTTTATCAAAAAAGAACCAAAAAAGAACCAAAAATTAAAATGACCATTGGTTCTTCTCGGAGCGTCTAAAGAAATTAAATAAACAAATAATAACGACAAATACAAATTGTTTATCACGCAAAGAGATTTTTGTAGATATCAAACTTGGAAAAAAAATTTTGCTTATCCCAAATAGTCTAACATAATGTAATTTTCATCGCAAGGGACAGTAATAAGTAATATCTTAACTATAAACTTATGAATTCGTGTTTACGCTTTATTCATTCTTACGCACTTACATGTGTGCTTAGTTAGCACCTTGTACTGCCCTCGTGTATCTTGTTCTTAAAATAGATAGACTTTACTAGATATAATTTTAAATTATTTAATAATCTTAAACTATTTCTCACGGTCCGAAATGTTGCCATAACGAAATGCTTAATCTTTATTAGACAACCAAATTATTGAACAAAATACTCATTTAAAATAACAATTATTTTTGTTAAAGAAACACAAAATAAAAAAACTATGGGCTTTTTGATATCTTTTAATAAACAATTTATAATTTTTAAGGGCTTTAAAACCTTGTGCGGGTTTAGATCATTTGTTTTTGTTTATTATTTCTCATTTGTGGTTTTCGCTTATGTATTTCATGGGTATATACATAAAATATTTATATAAACATATACACATTTATTCATACATTAAAGATATTTGAAACAGTATTTTGATAAGGAAAAGGTATGAGTTATTAGCAACTTGGTTTTTAAATTTTTTAAAGTTTTGGTTCTAAATTCTTTCATATTGTTTGATAGAAAACATTGAAACAAATATAAAGAATAAAATTTAGTATAGTTGTTAAAATTTTTTATTTGATACACAAAGTTTTTTATTTCTATTTTAATATTTTTATACGTATCTATCTGATACAAAATTTTTATTTTTAATTAAATAATGGAGTGGTTTTGTCGCTTGGCTTGTACGTAATTTAGACTATTCAACTCCAAACAAGGTAAAGTATTCTATACTTAAGGTGGTAGGCTGCTAAAAAAATTATTTTTGTATTTTACAATATTTCAATAGATTTTTTTACTTCGAACATGATAAATATATTAAAAAAATTCATAATTTTTAATTTTTTTTTTTTTTTCATATATATTTTGGGCAAAAACAGTTGATTTTAGGCCAAAAACAGGCTAAAATCTTGGCAAAGATATCTCAAAAAGTATAATTTATTAAGTTCTAATTTTTTGTATTTTTATTTGTTTTATGTAGATAAATGTCCTGAGATAAAAATTTTTGTTGAAAATTTCTTTATTTTAAAGCATCGTTAGATTTTTCAAAGCGCCCAATTAATAATCGAATTTCAGATATTAAGAACAAAAAGTTTGTTGTTTTAAAAGTTTATATTCTAAATTTTTTTTATCTCAGGACATAAAGCTTATTATAAAGAATCTCTGTACAAAATTTTAAGTCAATTGGACAATTACAGCTCCTGCAATCTTTGCCAGAAAATTAGAAGAATAAAACAGAGAAAAAAGCATATAAAATTAAAAATATTGAATATACAAACTTATTCAAATCCCCCTTTTTTATATACTGCTTTTCTTAATTTATGTATTTTTTATCAAACCCTTTCCTAGTTGCTTTAAGATTTTTTCTTTGTTTTTTAATTTTTTTTTTATTACTAACCTTAACTAGCGGTTGCTATGAGCGTTGCTATGGGAAACAAAATTACCCTACTAATATAAATCACTTTTATTAGTTCTAAATTTTTTTCCTCATACGAAGATCTATATATTTTTAGACTCTACATCAGTTACTGTTTAAAACAATGCCACTTTTGAAAAACCGTTTTTTTCTAACTTTTTTAACAGTCTACCACCTTAACTTTGAATAATAATAATAATTATAATAATATTGTTTCTCATAAAGAAAAACTGACACAATCTATTGTAAATATCTTCACTTCAAAAAGAACAAAGAAAAAATCAACTAAATTCATAGTAAACGGTTTAGGTAGATTTTTTTTTAGATTGAATTTAAATGTCACGTGACGATACAAAAATTATATTATGTTGATACCAAAATTTAACTATGCACTAGAAAATTTTGTTTAAAAGTTATTAGTAAACTAGTATTTTGGGAAAACAGATTTAGGGAAGTATATTTTATATAATGTTTAGGTAGAGTCGTGTTAGCATTTTTCAGACTCTTTATCTTATCTGTAAAACACATTAATCAAAGACACCTTTGCACATACTTAAAAAAAATTTTATGCCGGAAAAAATTATAAAGCCATCTGTTTTTAAATTCGATAAAACATTTATGATTTTATCGTTACGAGATATCCATTTTATCGGTTACTTACATGCTTTCAATGAAGAATTTTGTGTTGATTATCTTTGTATTTTTAAATGAATTACATAATATATCAATAATGTGGATTGTAGAGTCATTATTTAAGTATGAATACAAGTTGGTGTATTCTGCACATTGACCTGCATTTTACGTAACTATTATGATATTTATTTTTTATCTTTGTAGAATTTAAAGAGCATAAATTACTCAAAACAATTTAGTGTCATCGGTAAAGTGTTTAAAGTTTATACAGATTTTAAAAGCGTTTGTGAAGTTATTAAAGTTTTATGCAATATAAAATATTAAAAATTTTTTTTTTAACAATTCGTCCTAGAAAAACAATAATATATTACAACTTAGACTTGGCAAATACACACACGCACACTCACGCATATACAAACACCTATATATAACTAAAAGTTATGTATATACTTGAGTTTTTATTTTATTCTATTTCAGTTTCGTTTTTTTATTTTGGACTTGCTTTTAATCTTTTTAAAGGTGGAAATAAAGTTTGTTTGTTGTGGGAAAAATATAAGTATACCAATATATATATATATATATATATATATATATATATATATATATATATATATATATATATATATATATATATATATATATATATAGTATATATATATATATATATATATATATATATATATATATATATATATATATATATATAAATATATATATATATGTATATATATATATATATATATATATATATATATATATATATATATATATATATATATATATATATATATATATATATATATATATATATATAGTTATAAATGTATATAACGTTATTATAACTTTATTTGTGTGTGCGGCGTACGTGCGTGTTTATTAATTTTTGTGGACCTGTGTTCGTAAAAAAAATTATTTATCATTTGGATTAAGTCTTAAAAAACTGGTGTTTAGAGAAAAATAAATAAATACCTTTTATTACAAACGATTATTATTTTCATTTTAAAATAAATTATTATTATTATTTTTTTTTCAAATATTTATTATATATTTAAAAAATAAAAAATGAATTTTAAAAACAATGGGTTTAAAATATTAACGACATTTTTATAAGCGCCTTTAATGCAAATGACGAAATAATTCACACAAAAAAATTGTTTTTAACGAAGATAAACACCAATAATAAATGAATAAATTGAAATGAATAATAGACAAATAATTTGAAAATAAAAACAAAATTCATTGATTGAAGAACGGATTTTGAGTCTTTCAACTTTCCGATGACAATTATTTTTAGAGGAAGTTGATAATATAACCACGTTAAAAAAAATGAACAATACCAACAAGCAGATGCTCAAGTTGTCAAGTCAGCAAATAAAACTTAGAATCATGTATGGTTATGTATAAACTCAAATAACAAAGGAATTTTATGAGCGATCATGAAAAAAACTTTTGTGAGGTAGCACAATTTTCCCAAATTGGGCGTGTATAAGTTTTGTCTAATAAGTTAAACAAAAGTTTAGGACTGGAAAAAAAGAATGCTGTGTGTCAGTATTTTTTAAAGTTGCAATAAGTTACTCTTTTATATAATTGCGACGTTTGCTATATTCTTTTTTATTATCAATATTTAAGTTTCAGTATAGTCAATATATCAATTTAGAAAAAATAATGACAAAGACCGTACTGGAAATAGTGGAAATTGTAGTTTTGGTAACTGTTGTTTTGTGTGCATTAGTAGGAAACTGCCTAATAATTCTTGCCTTCATAGTTGGCTCAAAGACTGTCAAAACCTTAAGGAACTACTTTATTGTAAATCTAGCTGTTGCTGATTTAATGGTAGTGTGCTTATCGCTTCCGCTCTGGATAGTATCTCGAATAGGTAATATACTTTTACTAAATAGTTTATTTATTTATTTGTTACATATTTTTAAAGAACTTTAAGAAAAATTTGGTTTATTTACTTTTATATGATAAACATTTTCTAAATGTATTAATTTATGTTCTTCATTATAAAAAAAAATTTTTATATTGAGTTAAATTTTATTTTTGGGTGAAACTATATAAAGTGTAATATTCAGAATTTTACTTTGGTTTTTTAGATGTAAAACTAATTCATGATGCTCAAATTGCAAAATACTTTTCAGCATTTGATGTATTGTGCGGAACTACATCTATATTGAACCTGGCAGCTATAAGTTTGGAACGCATGTATGCTGTAAATTGTCCAGTGCGTCATTTTAATTTAACTCCCCTTCCTGTACTTCTGGTTATTGCAGCAACATGGACAATTGGATTTTTACTTACAGCTGCCAAATTTGTTATAAATATTGAAAAATCAAATAGAGAATATACTGTATTGTTATTTGTTCTGGCGTACCTTGTTCCGGTTTTTGTCATTATTGTTTCTTACTTTATCATTTACTGTTATGCAATCTCAAAAACGAAAGGAAAAAGTCGATGTAGCAGATTAAAGCGGGACTTGAAAGCTGCTAAGACGATATCTGTAATTATTGGTTTGTTCATTCTTTGTTGGAGTCCGTTCTTTTTTATAAACATTTTGTATGTCTTCGAAATTCGGAGTACAACTAATGTAATCAACATATCCAAGTTGATGCACTATAGTAACAGCATGATGAATTTTTTTGTATATGGACTTAGAAGTCGGGATTTTAAACGCTCATTCCAGTCTTTACTTAAATGTAGCTAGCTGTTTAGTTTATTTTTGTATTTATAGACTTAAAAGTCGGAACCTTAAACGCTTATTTCATCCTTCATTTAAATGGATGTAGAATGCTTTTACATCGTTTGCTCGGCTTTCTATTTCTTCTAACTTTTCTCTTTATTTAATTTCAATTTTAAACATGAATATTTGAACTGCATCATACACAACCTTTTTTTAAGAAATATAGATTTAGTTAGATCAAAAGAAAGTTTGAAAATTAGACTGGACTATTTTTTAATTAGGCTGGAGCCAACATTTTAATTTGCGGTTTTTGTTGTTCCGCAAATAAAAATGTATAAAGGAATAGCTGAAAATTAGTACTTCAAAAAAAAAATTAAAACGGAGAAAACTCTATTAAAAGAACATGTTATAATGGCATAATAATGCTACATTACATATTATCTATATATTAGTAAAACACATACAAATTAATAAAATGTTTAAACATTAAAATTAAAAAGTTATTGTCTTTTGACCTTCTTTATACTTTTAATATCATTTTTTATTTAAATTAAAGTCTTTGTTTTTCGCCTCCAGGTTTTGCAACATTTTAAAAAATTATCATAAACTTATAACTTCATTAATGCGCGATTCATATAATAATAACTTCATTAATGCGCGATATATATATATATATATATATATATATATATATATATATATATATATATATATATATATATATATATATATATTATATATATATATATATATATATATATATATATATATATATATACATGTGAAAAAAAGTGATCTTAAATTATTATAAATAATTTAAGTTTTATTAACTGATCGTAAATTATTGTAAAAACCTAATTATTTTTAATTATTGGCTCATATCGTATGCATAGCTCATAATTTATGAATTAAACTTTTAACATAACTTAATATGAAATGTAACTTCACCGTGCCGTTTAAAAAAATATGTTTATTACTCAAAAATATGGTAATAAAATTAACAAATATTTTCGATTTTAATTTACAAAAAAGAAATTTTAAAACAAAGAAATAAAAACAAAAGATAACTTTATTAGTAAATTAGATATTAAACTTTTAAAATAAAACTAGAAAATGAAAAAAAAAATCGAAGAGCCTATTTTAAGAAACGACTGTGGCGACTAATAGAATCAGCGAGCTTATTGAGATATTGTTGTTCACCTTTTCTATACGTGTGTTTATTTTCATGCAAAGCGTTTTTTTTTTTTTTTAATTTACAGAATGGAAAAAAATAAAACGCAGTATGCAATATTTTTTACACTAAGCAGGGGGTGTTACAAAGTAAACTAAGCAGGGATGTTTTTATACTTTGCTGAGTTCTTTAACTATTGGCATTTATTATTTAAGTAATGAAATTTCAAAAGAAAACAAACAATTTTAAAGTAGACCAGTTGAGTATTGTTTAAATTTTACTGAATGAGTCTTTAACAATAGAAAAACATAAACTGATATCCTGTATCTATGATAAGAACCGTAGTTTAATACCTTTAGTTTCGGTTCGTTTCATTTTAACTTCACATTTTAATTCAAAGAAAAAAAAAACGTAACTTTTTACGCATCAGCAGTTACATTTAAAATAGTTTCCATAAGGTTTCCAAACAGATTGCGGCATTTCTTGAATAAATTATATATTGGTTTTTTTCTAAAATTTTTATCTCGATCAAACCAAGATTTTACTTTGCGATTATTTGAGATATATTTTGTGATTATTTTGAAATTTTACGTCATAATTTCTATGAGATTTCACGTTGAGATTTCATTGAGGTTAAATTTCTCAATTATACCCCAGATTTTATTTTTTGAATAATATTCAACTTATAGAATATTATTTAAATATAACTAATTGAATGATATTTAACTTAAATATATTTAATCAACAGTCTAACATTGTATTATTTCATATATTTACTGGTCTTTTATAGATATTTTTGTAGTTGTTTGTTTGGACTTTTTATGGGGTACTAATAAAGTACGGAAATTCTAACACTTACAACGGGTAAAGTGCGGAAATAAAGTGCGGGATTAAATTTAGAGAGTTGGAACCTTCGTACATTTGCTGATTTAAGGAGAACATGCGAAGGAGTGCAGCTGCATCGAGTGAGGTTTGGGTGGGGTAGCCTAGTCTGAATAAAGGTTTATGTTATGGTATACTCAGATGACCTAGCTGTTCGAGCTTTTTAACTATACAAATAATCAACAAATAATATGATAATAATCAAATACTGGAATTATTTACCTGCAGTTAAAAAAAATATGTTAACAAAAATGAAAAATAAAGATAACTTATAATAAATATTAAAAAAACAAAAACATTTTGCAATTCATTTTGTTATTATTTTAAATATATATATATATATATATATATATATATATATATATATATATATATATATATATATATATATATATATATATATATATATATATTTTTTTATCAACGTTTAGTTTAAAAGTAAATTTTAACATTAATGTTTTATTTTTATTTTAATTAATGTCGAGAAAACTCTTTCAATGAATTTTTTAAAAGAAAAAGAAATCTTTCAGGAGCTCTTGAGTGCAATTATTAGGTATATAAAAACAATCCATCGAGGATAAATGTAGTTCTTGATTATTTATTTATTTCTTTTGATGTTTAATAAAAAAAGATCTTACATATATAATAAAAGGCCAGAGCAAGAAGAAGACATATATTGTCTTATCGTCGAGCCCCGTTTACATTGTCGAATTTAGTTTATGTAACAAGTTAAAATTCAAAGTTACAAAATTACAGGTTTAAAATTATATCGTAAAAGACAATTTATTACAAGTATTATGGCAAAATTGGTTTAAAGCACCTAACATATTGTTCCATACTTTTTCAAGACGGCTGTTTAGTTGTTAGTTTATGCGATAACATCATTTTTTTTAAAGAAAAATTAGCCAACTTAACTTCAACAAAATACTTTCAAAATAATATTTTTCTTACACTTACATTTCTTAAGTTAGGATTTTCCTTTATAAAAGTTTTTTTTTTAAACAAATTGTCGCGTTGGTTTGACAAGGTTCTTGATCCGCGAATTGGTTTGAGTAAATCGATGTCAAAAATTGTTATGTTCCAACCATAGAAATTTATTAGAATTGATTGATAATATTTTTCACCCATGGTAACATAAGCATTTGCCTATAGTATCTTTATTTGTAACTAAAAAGTACTTCACTCATCATTGAAAAATAAATACCTCTGAAATGCAGTTAGAACCTTGTCATAGTGAAATATTCATATCTTTACTATGACAAGGTTCTAAATGCTGTTATAAAGGTAGCTAGATTCTACCGTTATACTATATTTAACAACCATTACATTATGGCTTAAGAGTTTTTTATCACATCTTGTCATTTATTAGGTGAAGAGCGACTGGTTAGTAATCTGTGTCCTGGAGAGACGCAAAAGAAAACGCAGCCTTAAATTGTTCAAGTTTAAACCTTTGGTTTAAACTTGAACAATTTAAACAATTTAACAAGTTTAAACCTTTGGTTTAACATTCAAAACTCTTGGGCCGATGCCGGTGTTTTTTCTATTAGATTTTTTCATTAAATTTGGCATCAGCACAAGTCATAGGTTCATTTTTAATCATGGATAGATAATTTTAGCACAGCAATGTTAGATAAAAGAACTAACTTGTAGTTAAGTAATTTTACTGTTAAAACTTTATGTTTTGTGATTTTATTTTAATAATGTATTAATAATGATTAGGATTTTTTCCGTTAACTTGTTTGAGAGTCTTTATTAGTTCAAATGAACTACAAAAATCAGCTATCCTTGTGGGCTTTTGCATTTAATTATGTGCATGATCCACTTTATGGGCACATAAATGACTAGGAAATAAGTATTTTGTAGTGTTTTTTAATCAATGCTAGGAGTCTCCCTTTTAAAAATGTAACCCACTATTTGATATTATACTGTTCCAATTTTGAGGGACGCAGCAATCAGACCATGTAACTAAATTGTTCATGTCTCTTTATATCTGCCGCAACATCCAATATCTTGCAAAAGGCACTGGAAAAATGCTTGCCGGTATTGTCCACCATTGATTCAGTTGTATAATATGCTGTCAAGTCACACTTTGCTTTCTCTCATGAAAAATAATTTTATTTCCAACATTACTATCTTAATCTACAGTAATTTGAAAATTTAAAAATGTTTTATATTTATAACACAGGTTTATAACATTGCTAATAAACATTTGATTACAAATTGTTCACTTTTTTTAATATTACTAATGTATATGATGTAGTAAATTAAAATCATATTATTTTGTTCATCAGCTATATTCAAAATAATACATTTATTAACAGATCGTTAAGGTTATAAAAGATGGGTAATAAACATGCATGACTGACTGTTGGGGGCTAGACACAGTAAAATATCCTTACATTGACTGACAATTAAATCTGCAGATAGAACTATGGCAAATTGGTAGTTCGCTTATTTTACTCTAGATTGAAATAAATTTTAGTTTATTTTGTGTGTCATGATACAAATAGTCTAATAAAGTCATAACCTCCATTTTGGAAGATATCTCAATTAGAATCTTGTCAAACCAATGCGACGAGATGTTCGACATTTTTTGATTTTATAATGTTTTGTTGAACGTATATGATTCCAACTTCATCAAAAACTTATGACAATATGTCATTTAAAGACCTTTCTTTTACAAATTGCTGAATAGTACTTATTTCAGTTTTTTATTTTTTCTTAGAAATAGAATTTTTTTATAACTTTTACTGTTTTTATTTGTCTTTCCTAAGGACTTTTATATCTTGAATTTTCTCGACATGGCTAAAACTAAAAATAGAGTAAGCGAGAGAAAAAATGGTAATTTTTAGTTTAACATTATTGGCAATAACAATTTGTAATGGTTATGATTAAGCAAAACAAATAACCAAATGTGTTTTAAAAACCAATACAAAAATTTATTTTTATATCACCACTCAAAGTTATAATATAGTTTAAAATAAGGATATTTTTAAAGGAATCCAAAAAAAAAAAAGCATTTAAAC